AGTTTTCTTAAACATAAATATATCCATCCATAAGGTTGATTTTATGTGGTAGTAATAGTTATTCCAAAACTCACTATACTAGTTGAATTAAAAGATATATATATAATCATGCATTTTCTTTTACAAGTAAAAAAATATAATGTGAATTTTTCTATTGATAAACAAAGCTTATCAGTAAAGAACTATTTTATTTACTAAGGAATTATACATTTGAGATATGGATCATAGAAGTTGACCTTGTTTCCATTGTCCATACCTCGCCAACCCAATGTAATATTATTTCTAAAAACCAAATGGTGGCTTCTTGTTTATGTTTTATTGAAATTACAAATTCAAAATAATTTGTTGTAACATGATTAAGAACTGAAGGTATAACTTTGAACAGACCATTCTTTTTCGTTTTCTTAATAAACTATAGCCGAACTTTTGCGAGGTAATAAATTAAATTGCAAACAACGTGTGTACAAAGAATCACACTCCTTGTTTAGAAAAGTCATGTGGTTTTACTAGTAGCAAATGAAAATTTCCTTCGATTTTAATAGTAAAAATTGAAATGTTTCACAAAAAAATTACATAGCTACAGCAGTAGACATGTCGATCCTGTGAAATTACGGATGACTGCAATAGGATAAATAATTAGTGTATGCATCGATCAACCACAAACTTCTTTATTCTAACAATGCCAAACAATCAAAGTCTAAGTAATAAAAAAAGAAGAGAAGACGAGTGCATTGAAGCGCAAGAGTAAGTGTTTTAAGGATGGTGATGGTGGTGGTGGTTATCACCCACCACTCGTCGTCACTCTAGTTTTAATTAATGAATTTACATACAACTTTTTTAACTTATAACTTTTAGTGACACTGGCACATCTTTAGGAATAACAGTGGAGGAAACAGTGATACTAGAACAAACCATTGATCTCCCAAAACTTGTGAAATTGTTACAAAACGTCGATATTTCAAAAATACACATGCCTTTAAACCCACTGAACCTTTCATTGCTAATCCAAGAAATGTACAAAGGAATATCATCATCAGAATCATCATCATTATCAGAAACATCATTGTCGTCATCAAAAACATCATTGTCATCAAAAACTGCATATTTAGAAGCAGAAACAATTGTCCCAATAATTCAAGGAGAATTATCATCAACAACATCATCAACATCAACAACATTATCAACATCATCAACATCATCAACATCATCAACATCAACCACCACCACTACATCCACCACTACATCTGGAGAACAAACCTCTTGACAATCAAGATAAATCAACAGCTACAACAACATCCACTATTGTCGAAACTGAATCAGTAATAATCAACAATGATGACGATGATAATGATGAAGATCAAGGAAGCAAGCTAAGTGTACTGGAGGATGATGTACAAGGATTAACTGTTCATTATGTCAGAAGGTGGACTAAGCAAGAACTAACAATCCTCTTAGATCACATTTTCAGTAAAAAAATAAATTGCATCAAACTTCAAGAAATGGGTATATTACGAAAAAATAGAAGCATTTCATTGAAATGGAGATCAATGAAGATACAAATAAAAAAATTATTTGAAGTTGACTTGTAGATATTATTAATTCAATATTAAATTTGCTTGTAAACAATGAAATATTTGACATATTTCTTTAACATAATTTGTATAAATTTAATCTTGCTGAGTTCTTAAAAAAGGACAGCTTTTTTTATTTTATCATTTTTTATTAACAAATTATAAAGGTAATATAATTATTTTGATTGTGAATTTTCACAATATACTTTTTCATTTTTATCTTAGATTAATTATCAGCAAAATATTTTTTTATAATTTTCAATAAACATAATGAAATTGATCATTTCTTGTAAAGCTTTCTAAATAATTTTATTTTGATTTCAATTAAAAGCAAATCCTTGTATATGAATGAATCTTGGAATGACATATCACACAAATTTTAAGTTTATTTGCACATTTTCACATGCTACTAGATAGTTGCATGGTGAAAAACAATGTATGACTGGTTTAAAGCTCCTCATGAGTAGTGTTTATATTCATTCAAAATTGTTCGGACAATATTCAAATATCATTCATGTGATTGATATTTGAATATCATGAATACAAACACTATAAAAAACAATATTGATCCCTGAAATCCTTGATATGCAAATGTTCACTTTGTCTGATTTTGTTGCAGTATGCCCCATTTTACTATTATTATTATTATATTATTTGCCGCTATTATTATTGCTATTAATATTATCATTTACATTATTACCTCTATGAATTAAGATACCTTTGTGGTTGCCTTATGCTTGAACTCAAAATACTAAAACTAAAATTAAAGAAAATAAATAATTATTTGAAACAAAAAAAGAATATTGAACAAAATTAATTTTTTTACCTTTTGTTTGTTCTTGCTACCAGGTTTTCGACCTCTTTTTCTTCCTTTATTAAATATACAATCCTCTTTGTTTCCATCAATACACCTAACGCAAAAATCAGAGTCCTCTTTCTTTTCACATCTTAGGCGTAATTTACGACACGAATCGCATGCGACCAAAGCATGTGTTCGCTTTTCGTAAGGTCTCGTTGTTTGTGCTCTTTTTCGTTTATGACGCCGAATCGGAGTAATTGGCTGATCTCGTTGTTGTTGTTGTTGTTGTTGTGATTGTGATTGTGAATTTGTCGGATATGTCGTATCTGTATTTAATGATTGCGAACTTGATTCAAATTGCCGTGTATTTATATGATCTTGTATATGTACATCTATATGAGATGATAGTGGATCTGTAAAAGTCTGTGATGTTTGATACAGATCTAACGATCGTGGATCTATATAATGAAGTGTACTATATTCTAAAATTTGAGTTGGTTGTTCGATTAGTTGCTTATCGTGTGATTGGAGTAGGAGCGGATTCATTTTTTTTAAAAATATTTCAAAATTAAAAAAAAAACAAAAAACAAAAAAAATTTTTTACAAAAGAAATTTAACAAACATATTATATCCAAACGAATTAAATGAATCACACAAGTAAAGTTTCTCTGTTCGACTTTATAAAATTCCATTAACATAAATATAAATATCGCTAATAAGGGATTGTGTGAAAGTTGAAAACAAATCATCGAAACCTTTATTTGGAGAAATTAAGATCAAATTATTCGATAAATCGAATAAATGGAATAGGCGATTTGTATGATAAAATGACCAAAAATTTAATAATGCATAATGCCAATTTGGGTCAACATAGTAATAGTAATAGTAATACTTTGACGGTCGTCTCGATGGTGATAATAATGAATTTTGCTAAAAAAGACGAAAATTTCTATTTTTCGAGAACTCGATTTGTTCCACGTATTTGATAAAACGAATCGTTTGAACAAGAAATCATGTTACAGAAACCCTTACCATTTAATTCACCATTTAAGATTTAATGTTTTCTCAAAATTGGCATCGTGGCAAAAAATTTCCAGAATTCCATTATTTTAAGTTAAAATGAAGTGCAAGTGAAATCCAATTTAAGAATTTAATTTTTGTTTTAAATCCATATTCGAGATATCTCCGAAGATAATCAAAAACTTATTGATGAATCGGGTTATTGTATTGCCAAGGAAATCTAAATCTACAATTATTAAATGAAAATTGATTGCGTAAAGATCTACCAGACGCGTGGAAGAAATATTTTAGAATTATTTGACAGATTCATCCAATGATGGTGTTGATTCATTTGAATTTCTTTAAACGACGATGGTCTGATTCCATAATAAACTAATTATATAAAAACCGATAATATAATAATAATTTAGGATGTTGAAAATTTAGCATCTCCTTTAATAACTTGTCGTACCATTAATATTATAAAAATTATCCAATAAATAAATACGTAATGATAATGACGATTTTTAATTTAAAGGCGAGATTTTAATTTTCATCTTTATTAGGACGACGATTGTTCTCAACTAGTCCCAGCTTCTTCAGCTACTCTCGTGAGCGGAACACGGGACGATTTCTTTGAATCAAAACTAATAATTTGCCAAAATATGCCTTAGTACATAATCTTTTCTAAAGCTCCTCTCTCCACATATTTGTGTTTGATAAAGTATTTGATTATAAACCTTGTAGAGTTATCATTACTTAATAATAATAATTATTATTATTTGTCTTGATTATGGAATATAAGAAGAAACGTTTACAAAAGTTTATAAAAAAGTTGTGGGAGCTAGGATTATATTCTCTGCGGAGCAATACTTTTTGAAATTCAAAATTAGCCAATCGGAGTTTTCGTATCCAAACATTCCACCCCAAAAATAAGTTTCGTTTGAATTTATCACGTGAATCGCCTATAAGTAGAGTTTCTTATTCAATAACTTTTTATTTGAATCAAACAAATAATTTTACATAAATTTTTATTTGGTTTTGGCAAAGTATACATTTTTCTATATTAACATTGTTAAGTTTTTGTCATATGATCTAAGGCGTCATTAATATTAACACGTTATTATTATTATTAATTCAATTCGCAAAAAGAAGATTTTGGTGGTTGGTTGGTTGTCAAATCGTTACCGTATAAAAAAATACACTTGCTGTATATGTTATTATTTTTCTTATTAAATTTTATTAATATTGTATTGATTATAATATACATAAATAAAATAAATATTATATATTTATAAATATTGATTATAAATAAACAAATATATATACAAAAATAAATAAATATTGATTATAAAATTTTTATTATTTTTCGTTACGGCGAACAAAAATTTGGGTTCACTGGTATTCGTACTTAAACACACACATTGCGGGTTTTTAATAAATTAATCCACTCCATATAAGAGTTGTTATTATGACAACATGGTTTAGTATCATCGATAGTATTATCAGCAGCGTCGGTGTCACGGTTTTCTGTTTCATATTTCTATTATTTCTATTAATCAAGGAAAATAATTAATTATTTGAAACAAAGAAAGAATATTGAAAATTTTTTTTTTACCTTTGGTCTGTTCTTGCTACCACGTTTGCGGCCTCGTTTTTTGGGATTTTCATCAAAAATACACGACTCTTCCCTTCTCGTTTCAATACACCTAACGCAAAAACCAGAGTCCTCTTTCTTTTCACACCTTAGATGTAATTTACGACACGAATTGCATGCGGCCAAAGCGTGTGTTCGCTTTTGTGTTTTTCTTCGTTGATGACGTTGAATCGGAGCAGTTGGTTGGTCTTTTTGTGGTTGCTGTCGATGGTGTGAATGTGATTGATGCGATTGAGATTGTGGATTTGTTTGGTATGTATCTGAACATGAATGATTTGGTGATTGTAAACTTATTCCGAATTGTTGTGAATATGGTATTTGATTATTATCCAATTGTGAATTTATATTATAATTGAATAATAGTGGATATGTGCGAGTCGGTTCAACCAAGTGATTGCATTGTTCAATTCGCATTTTTTTAAAATAATTGTTAAAATTGAATAAAATTATTTTTATAAAAGAAATTTTGACACAGTTTTATTTCCAGATGTATTAAATGAATTCCATAAAGTAAAGCTCTTCTGTTTAACTCTGATAATACTTTGTAGCTTTATAGAATTCCATCATAGATGACTACTGACATACATGTAAATATCGCTAATAACAAATTTATAAGATCGAAACAAAGATCTTTCTTTGGAGAAATTAAGATTTTCTAGTCTAGTTATTTGTTTGTTTCTAATAAATGGAAACTCTACTTCTAGGCGATTCGCGTAGTAAACTTGTGCAACTTTGAGGTTTGCTAAAAAAAGAAAAACTCGATTTGTCCTATTTTATAAATCGAAGGAGAAATTGTATTACAAATAAATAAATAAATTCACCTGCCATTTTGAGATTATTTTAATATATAGAAAGTTCTATTTAAGAATTTTAATAAATTAATATTTTTGTTTTTGATCCAAAATCAAGAAATTATTATGATTACGATTATTAAATGAAATTTGATGATCAAGTTGATCCAGATCCATCGTTGCGTACAAATCCACCACCATGTAAAAGATTCTAGAATTATTGATAGATTCATCCAATGATGGTGATGATTCATTTGTGACACTTGGACCAAATATGAACATGTTGTCTAACCATTATTTATTTTAACGGGTGCCAGAGCAAACTGATGACACTATCATTATTTCCCTCGTATAAAAAACCCGATAATATAATTATTTAATCACCCTACTTTTAATTTAGGCGTTGAAAATTAGCATCTCTTTAACAACTTGTTTGCTACAAGTTACTGCTGATTCTGAGGATGGATAAACTACTTGTGTTGAAATAGAACATGAAACTGGAGCTGATGTTGAGCTGATGTTGATGACGATGATATGTTTCGGCTGATTTTGATGATTGTAAAGTTGATATTGATGACAATGGAATGGAAGTTGAAAGCTCTCTTTATCTTTATGATAGCAAACACTTTTTTTGCAAGCTTTTGATTACATTCTTTGACTAGACTGTTAATCTTTGGTTAATGAGGGGTATAACTAATAACATTACTAAATTTGGTAAAGTAGACATCAGACTAATAAGTTTATTTCCCTCGACTTGAATTTGAAGTTGATAACTTTAATAAATTGTTAATTTCAAAATTTCAAAGCCTCTTCATTCGTTATTAAATAATAATAATAATTGCTTGCTTATGAATTGTCTTGCTGATAATTTAGCCTAGAACCAGTAGCAATATTTCATCAAAGTATTATTGGTCTATAGAATTGAATGTTTATAATGTTTTCTGTAGATTACACAACACAAAATGAACTCGTGAAATTGATTTTCAAAAATCAGCTCACTCAAAATTTCTAAAAAAAAACAATATATATATATAAAACTTTTACATATATAAAAAAGGTCCATACTAAAAAAATCTCGAATCCTAAGAATAAAAAACTTTTTTTAAAAAATTATATTTAATTTATTTTTTATAACTTAAAAAAAAAAAATAATGTATAAAAAAGCTTTATATATACGAATGATAAGAAACTCTTATCAATTGGCAGTTTCACATGGAAAGTTTCCACATGTTAAAGATCCTATTAATAGTATCAAATTGATTAATAATAAGCCATCATTTATAAATCAAATACGTTATGCCTCTGGAATATCTAAAGAAGAAGTTAGTAGTAGTATTAGAATTAGCAGAATAATTAATAGT